CGTGCCCCTCTTTCTCTCTCTCTCTCTCTCTCTCTCTCTCTCTTTCTCTCTCTCCCTCTTTCTCTCTCTCTCTCTATATATATATATGCTGAGTAAAGAAAACCTTGGTAATCCGTATAAATAACCCGAAGGAGGATGAAAAATATTTGCAATATTAAAAATATTATTAGAATTTTTTTAATATTTTGTTTATCGGTATAATATTCAATTTATATTAAATTCCTAGTTTATTTGTGGAAAATTTAAACACTTAAATTAGTATAAAACGTTAACCGATAAATTAAATAAAAGAAAACTATATAAATCTGTAGTTTTCCAGTTTAGCAGCGATATGTCCACATACGTTAATTTTCTTAATTCCTCTCTTTCTTTATCTCCTCTCTTTCTCTCTTTCCTTCAAAACCTTAAGTCCATCTCTTACATCTTTACTTCTCCCCTTTTCTTTATTTCTCTCTTTATATAATTTCCGGTGAGTTGACCTATTAAATAGGTCAATGTCTGATCATTACCCACTTCCTCTCTATTATGTATGGTAATAAAAATAAATTTAAAGCCATCACTATCTCTCCCTTCCCTCTCTCATTTCGACCATGTCTGATACACAATCTCTGACCTCTCTCTATATCACCTTGCATCGGCTGAATACTACCCTCCAAAAGTGTAAGTTTAAATTCAATTTTTTCATACTTGGAAGTGAGGTCTGATGATACAGAGAAAAAGAAACTTCCTGGAGAAATAAATTATAACGTTGTGGAACGTTAAAGTTTTCTGGTTTCCTTTAAATATATATATATATATATATATATATATATATATATATATATATATATATATATATATATATTGCATTTCATGAATGTGCGTGCGTGTGTATATGGGGGTGCACATATGCACATATGGAGGGGAACTGATATATATTAATAATATGGTTGCATGTATACACAGATGAAGGCTCCCCAATGGGTATGGGCTAGTGTATGTGTGCATGCTTATATATCGATGGGCATATATGTGTGTGCATGAATGTAAAAATATGACAAAAATGTTCCTAGTACATGTATACGCCTAGATGGATGTATATATCTGTACACATATATGGGAGTTTATATATGTGCGCATATATGAATGTGTGTGCATATATATATATATATATATATATATATATATATATATATATATATATATATATATATATATATATATATATGGTGGGATTGATGTGAGTTTGTGAACCTGGGTTTCCCGCTTTCACAACGATCCCTCCCCCTTTTCCATAATAACGCCAATACACGCAGTGTACATAAATCCAAAATTTTAAAAAATTAATCAGTTTGTCTGACGATCGCAAAAGCGTGAAACCCAGGGTCACAAATTCACATCAATCCAACCAAATATGTTACCTCTATCTCTGATATGGTGCGCTTTCTAATATGTACCGCGCACATAATATATAAATAATAATAATAATAATAATAATAATAATATATATATATATATATATATATATATATATATATATATATATATATATATATATACACATGTATTGGAGAAGCAGATCATTATTCAAACATATATTGTTAAATATAGCCGCCAAAGAATGTCCATTATATTTGACCATCAGACGCTCCCCGCTTCGTTTTAGTGGCCTTAGTTTTGGAAGAGAATAAAGGCAAAAAATGTCTAATATTTGGATATATTTTTTATTATGCTGTTTCTCGATGTAATCTTAAAACGGCTCACGATCAAGCATAATAGACATTCGTTGTCTGTTATATTTAACAATATATGTTTGAATATATATATATATATATATATATATTTATATATGTGTGTGTGTGTGTGTGTGTATGTGTGTGTATGTCTGTGTGTGTCTATAAAAAATAATAATAATGTCCCTGATGTGAAATCCAACGACGTCAGAAGCTCTAATGTTAAAACAGATAAAACAAACAAGTTCCATAGACAAACTCTCTTCAATGAGGTGATAAGCTGGGGCAATAAATTTGATCTACGATGCCTACTTGCCCTCAGAGATCCCAAGACATTTTTTCCTCACAATGTATTTGTTTTTCTTTCATTACCAAACTGAAGAAGACAAAGAGAACACACATTTTCTCCGTTGGTTAATAAATAAGACCCACTTTCTGTCATGATCTTCCATTTTGTTTTGGATATAATCCTACAAACACACAAAATATAATTCATAAACGAAGCATTTGAAAAGCAAGATAATTATCCACTATCCTAAGTATTCGAACGGTGATTTCTTGAAACAATCCACAACAGAAAAAAATAACCGTGTTGCCAACCCCCCCCCCGTACTTTATCTTTTACATAAAATCTGCAGATCTGTTGGATTTTGTTTCTTCTGAGTACAGCTTCTAACCAATGCTGTGTCCCAGCATCCATTCTTGGACTTGTTATCTGGTAGATGATCACCAACAAGCATTTCAGTAATTGCTCGGTGGAATAATGGATAAGCGTCTCGGATTGAGGAATCGGAGAGCCGAGTTCGAGTTCCAGTCGAATCCATTATATTCACTTACGCTTGGGAAAGGTATGAATCGTCTTCATCTCTCCAGCAATGAGTAAATAACAGGACTGACCGGGTTCTATAACCTTGGATGGCAACTGGTCTACCACAAAAAGAAATGGCAAACTACTGCGGGAAAAAAATATCTCTCACTCTTTAGCTATCTATCAATAAGAAAAATCTGCCTCGTCAGTTAGGTATCGAAAGATACATTATCGCCTAATTGTGTATCACATGGCACATAACTGACTGTCTGAATTGCACCCTAAAAGCAAGGCTCATCTGATGATCAACTCATGGTTTTTTGTGCTTAAGATGGCTATTAGAAATTTGGTGTTTGAAGTCAGATTTCGTGATCCGCATATTAGAATGTGATAAGCTTATCTGAAATATGTAGCTTCTGGTTTTGTATAAATTCAGGTAAAATCA